GGTATTGTGAGAGTGTTTAGCTTTCTGCTGCAGACGTTCCGTAAAGCGTAACTTAACACATTTCATTATTTGCCTATTTTTCATTCAAAAAACTCAATGAATAAATTAAAAATTTTCAATGCATAAAATCATAAGTAGGAAAATTGCCTGAACCGAAAATATAACTGAATGAGTAAATAAGTTTCGATTAGTTGTTATCGTAATTTGGACTTGACATTTCATGTTGTGGAAAGTAACGAAGAGTAATATCTTTCAAAGGAGATATTTTTCACACATGTGTGAAACATCATGCAGAGTTCATGTTCTACACAATTCAGTAAATATTACGTACAAATATCAAACGATATTTTACCATTTTTTCACGATATGTTTAATTTTCTTATGTTTTCACTTAGACATAACGGTTTTACTACCTGTTATACTATACATGTGCTCAAATGCATAGTTTAAGAGAAAATACAGTCAAATAATAAATAGATTGAGAAATCTCCTTTCATTTTTTATTTACTTTTCACAGATTGTGTAATAGGATTAGAAAATCACTCAATAATAATAATTTTTCTTTTTGCGCATTACTCTAATGTTGCCCATCAAAGCTATATTGATTTAAAAGTTGTAATTTTACTTTTTACGTTTTTCATCATTATTCTACGTTACTGTTCTAACATATGGTTGCATTGACTTTTGCGACGTGTTGTGAGCCGAAGATAAATGTGAGAACGTAATTGAAAATAATGCTTGAAGAATTACGAGTTGCAGTTTGTAAATGGGCCTCTTTTTAACTTGTGATAGCCATTTATTGCACGTTCGCAGCGTGACTTTGCGTAACGAGCGTGACCCGTGATTCACACCTTGGCCCATCGCGGCAATTCCGATCCTCGCCTTGAGGCGTTGCGTGACTGTCCTCTGGGTCGCCCCACGCTCCAACATGCCATCACGCCTCCGTGACTACCGGGCCGTAGATGGGCAACCTCCCCGCCCCGCCCCACCCCGCCTTCCGCGCCGGTAGGACATTTTTACAATGCGTTCGTCTTCAAGAACTAGAGAGCGGTCGCGTAACAGCGATGGGCGCCGTTCTCGGAGGGCTCTTGTGTGTTAATGCGCAATGGTGCGAATTGCCGATGATGACCCCGTGGAGTGGCGGCGCTTGCGAAAGATTCGCGACGGAACAGCGGGCTAAGCTTCTCCGAGCTGCAGCGATGCTTTAAGTGATACATGGGACGTCTATTGCTAGTCATGTCGGTCAATTTTGGTTGTTGAATTTAATAGTTAATATTATCGTTGGTGTTGCAATAGTACTCTCGAGAAAATGGACTTGTACATGAGGAGGCGTACATGAAGAAGGGTAAGATGCGGCCAGAATATGTTTTTATTTATTGTCAAAGAATTAACGTGACTGAGAAAAAATTATGTTGCATAAAATGAGTTTATTTTCACAACAATAAAAGTACAAAAATTCCACTTACATTTGTGATTAATTTTAATATTTTAAGGTGAAACATTTATAAAGATTTTGTATAGAAAATCTGTACCAAAATAAAAACGTAAAAATATCCGAAACGTGTTGAAACAAGAAAAAACGTTTGGTGTCCAAGAAAAATCCACATTTATAACTTTCACACCACTTATTCCCTCTTTCCCATTCTTATAAAAACAACATTTTTTTTATATTTTCCCGTTACAAACTCTAAAAGTTGCAACTTCTCGGATGTATAAGAATAATTTCCAAATCTTCATTACAGAAAGAAGAAAAGAAAAAAAAAACACTTCCGACAGCATCATTACTTCGTAATAACATACCTAACTCAAACATCTGCGCCGTGATTCTGAATCAAATGTTTACGGCCCTGGAGTGCAAACGTGTTTGTTAGCGCCCTCACCCTATCTCTCACTTTCTCATTAAACACATTTAAATCACCACATGTATTTATTGTGAAATGGAGAAATAAATTGTGTAAATCATATTATAACGGATAAAGAAAAAGGAACAAACTTACTACAAGTAATGAAACAAGTGTAGCAAGAGAGTATGGTGGGTTGCATGCGATGCAATTAGACCCATCTTTTAAATAAAACAGCTGGTCTTTGATTGTGATACGTACCAGAATGCTGCAATCGCAAGACGGGTAGAGATGAAATGAAAGAAGGATATCTAAGACCACTTGAGAGGAAAAGGGAATTTGATAATGCTTGTTTTTGTCACATTGAACCCGGACCTTACCATTTGACGGTTAAAATGTGGGGGATCAAGAAAGTGGAATTTAATGTTTCATTTATTATTGAGTCAATCGCAAGGAAGTGGACCATTTAAAACGAGACATTTGAGAATTCAAATACTTAACACCCTTATGAGGTTACATAAGAGAAAAAATTATACTTTCGTTTCATTCACATACTCTTTTTAAAAATAATATTAAATCTAAACGATCAAAAGGATAAGAAGGGTCACGCATTTTGCTCATATTAACTGAAAATGGTATAAAAACCTTTTGTAAATGTCACTTCAAAGTCAGCGTTATCATGTTCATTATAAGAAATGCATGTCTATTATGACATTATGCCTTACCCGCGTCCACACTCACTCTACGGCGCTTTAGAAGATTCAGAGCAAACAGTTCCTAAATAATCCAACTGTTGGTAGACATTTAACTGTCGTCGTCTGCCTTTGCTTCATCAAGAACCCTTCATCAGAAGAATAGACGTCTTTTTCGGAAGGTATTTTCCAAGCAGTTTCGAAACTTTTAATTCACATCGTTCAACCAAAGTCAAATTCTCAGGCCACGTTTGAGCCTGAACTTTGAAGGTCACGTAGTGTAACAGGGGAGCGCGTACAGTTGACAGGTTAGCGGAATCTTAGCTGTTTAATACACATGAGTGAGTCGGTGCCATTCGGCGTGCATAAAATCGCTCCAGGAGGTGATTGCCCAAGGTATCGTTTCTAAAATAAATTCTATTTAAAACCACTCATATTGATATTCCTATTAAAGGAAATCTACTGGCGCCTAGGTCTCAAAACTTCGAGAACGTCGTCTACGTGAGCTCTAATACCTACGTCCACGAAAGACCACATACCAGTTGCATATTATTGCAATTAATCTTGCGTACTGTTTTTCGATACAAAATGTTGTAGCTATCAAAAGAGGAAGAAAGAAGGTACTCGTGGTGACCCGCAGGCCGCCTGTTCAGAAGCCTGGTGGAAGGGGTGTGGCGACGGGCGCCGCTCCACATGGCGCCCAGCCTCGGAGCGAAGCCACTGCGTGTCGATTGCTTCACCGCGAGCAGTCCGGCCGGAGATGGAATGAGCAGATGTGCATGGCATTTCGGCGCGCGTGAGAATCCTTCGTTATGATGGCAAATGACACGAGGGCGTGCAGCGTCTTCAGGTGCGAGCTAGTGGTAGTCGTTTGGAGGAGGTACGCGCCGTTTGTGGGACAGAGAACGTGATTGGATCTGGGCATGTTCTGGTTGCGGCTGCTGTGGGTTTATTTTCGTAACGTTATTCCGAATTGGGGTTTTTGGCCGATGGAATTGCAATCATTATCCTAAAAATCTTGATTATTCGCTAATACGCAGAATTTGATGTCTTTTGCCGGGAAGGGTGTATTCACGCTATACCTTTCCATGTGGGTGAGGTATATCCATGGTATTTACGTGTTTCAAGGGGGCTAATATTTATTCGGTACCCCATATACTTCAGGTCTTTTGTACAGTTAGTAGAAAAGAAATATTGTTTATTATTAGCGTAATTGAGGAAGTTTGGCTAATGTGGACAAACAGTCATTAAGTTTGTGGCGTGAAATATAAACAAGCATAAAGGTAGCAGAAACCTTCAAGTTAGGTTCTGTGCAAAAAGCAGTTGTAGAAGGACGTTCAGAAGGGCATAGAAAGCTGTGTACTCATTGAAAAGGAAACCTGGTGTAATATATTTTGTGAGAAGATGGTCGTATGTTTTTTTAATACGAAAAACATATACGTAGGGAAGATGCAGTCTGTATAATTCTTTTTAAAAAACTGTCAGTTTGATATAAGTATCTTTTTTCTTCCTTTTGTATTGGTTCTTCCGCTTGATTCAGTGTATTAATTACGTTTAAAATGTATTGAATGTTTCGAATGTAATGTTAATATTTATTCTTAAGGTGAGGTAATCGTAAAATAATTATTTTGATGATTCAGTAGTCTCAAAACATCGATAATGATCGTGCATGATTCCGATAGAATAAGATCAAACTTACTTATGGTGTTCACGCGATAACACGATTTATAAATTTTAGTGAAATTCAAATTCTTTGCTTGATGCATTGAAAGGAAAATTAGTTTTATTACTGAAAGTACAGTAATTATTTTTTTTTGCAAATACATGAATAGCAATAAATGCATTCTAATATTGAAGTACAACTACGAAATTCAAATGTTCGTCCCCTGGTTGTAACTCATTCTCTTGTTTCAAGGCAGAGTTCCAATAACGAACTTCTTGTGATAGTGTTTAATGAATGTCAACTGGAACTCACAATGCAACGGAGCTGATGAAAATGGGTATTTAAACTTACTAAAACTATTTCCTTGTAACAACTAGTTGTTGATTTTATGCTTTTTTGGGAAGAAATTTGTTTGAGTGAATGATACAACTCAAGGAAATATCTGACTTCTTTGTGTAAATTTGTGAACGTGATCATATATACTTGTTGTAAATTGTTATTTTTATATACTAGATATTACTACTTTATGAGCATTTTAAAAATTCAGATCAAAATAAAGAATAATCATGACTGGTAGTGTTGACTACTGAAGTGTTGTAACAGGGCACGTATTCGGGAAAGGTGTGATATATCTTGTTTGAAGAAGAAAACAACCATAAGTATGAGGTACTAATACAAATTTATTGTATGGTACAAATACAAACACACGCAACATTCATACTCACGCTAAGTCAAAGATAGGAGGAATTGGGTACCATTGGTGCTTAGTAGTGGCCGTAAGCGGGGCCGGCGCCGTAGGCGTACGCGGGGGCCGCCACCTTAGCCACGGCGGGAGCGGCGTACGCCACGGGGGCGGGCGCAGCGTACGCGTATGCGGGGGCAGCAACCTTGGCCACGGCGGGGGCGGCGTACGCGACGGGAGCAGCCACCTTGGCGACGGCAGGGGCGGCGACGACGGCCTTGGTCACGGCGGGCTCGCGGTGCACGACGGCGTTGAAGCCGTTGACGGGGTCGGCGGTGTAGTCGACGGTGCGGCGGGTGCCGTCGGGCTCGATGAGCGAGTAGCTGCCCTGGACGACGTCGCCGTCGCGGGTCTCGTGCTGGCCCTTGGCGTCACCGGTCAGAGCGTCGGTCACACCGTAGCTGAAGCTGTACTTGGCGGGCGCCGAGGGGTAGACGGGGGCAGGGACGGCGTACTTGGCTACGGCGGGGGCGGCATACGCGACGGGGGCAGCCACCTTAGCGTAGGCGGGGGCGGCGTAGGCCACGGGGGCGGGAGCGGCGTAGGCCACAGGGGCGGCCACCTTCGCGACGGCGGGCGCGGCGTACGAGGCGTAGGCAGGGGCGGCGTAGGCCGCGGGGGCGGCGTAGGCTGCGGGGGCGGCGTAGGCCGCGGGCGCCGCGTAGCCGACAGCGGCGGGGCCGGCGTAGCCCACGGCAGCGGGGGCGCCGATGATGCCCGCGCGGGCGATGGCCGCCAGGGCCAGGACGAAGATCTGCAACAAAAACCACGCACCTTCTTACTTGCGCTCAGATTCAGGTTCTTTTGAGTAGTTGTGTTTGTTGACTAAATGAACGCAAACTATTTTAGCTACATTTGAAAAATTCTTGAGTGAGGTATTGCTTAATTGTTCCACTGAGAGTGACATTTCGGCCTGAATTGGAAATCGTTTTTTTTTGGCCGCAGTCTGTTACTATTTCCAATTTGTTCAAGTGTTCAACATTGCCAGTTTTACCTTGTCGTCTGGACTCAGAAGTGTATACGTTTACGACGAAATTAGGCAAAAATTATATTTTTTAGTTACGTTCTCCCACGTAAATATAATCCCCCCGTAATTGTATTATTCAATACAAATTTAATTTACTATGGTTTTAAATATATCATTCGTGTCAGGTCACTTTCAAGTTACTATAAAATGATAATTTAATGTATAAATTGTAACTATGTGTACCAAATTCGTTTAATTAAGTCAAATATCCTTGAAAATTTGTTTTCGTGTAATTTAATTGCATTAAACAACTATCATCCAAATTCAACACGTTGTTTGCGTATTTTTGCACTGGCGTGGTGTAGTTTCCCTGGCGGCGAGGCACTCTTACCGCGGTCTGCATGTTTGGTGGTGGTGCTGCGGCGGCGGAGTGCGTTCCGTCTGCGTCGGTGGCGGTGGTGATGCTGTGTCCGTTTGCGGGGCCCGCGCGCTTATATACCCCTTGCCGAGGTCCGCGGAGTCTCGATGGCCCGTGATGTAAGCGGGCTCTTCCCCCCGCCGCGGCCTTTCACCGACGCGTCCGCCGCCGCCGTCGCCTCCTCCGCCTCCACAGCGCCCGGCCGCGGGTTCGCCTCCGACTTCGACTCCGACTGGGACTTCGAGAAAGTCCGCCGCCGTCGACGAGTGGGGGCGGCCAACGCATCGGGCGCCACCGAAGCCAAGGAAACGATCTGCACTCCGAACGCCCACCGGCCCCATCCTCTGCACCTCGCCTGGCGCGGGAACCTCGCAAAACCCGTTCTTCATTAACGGGCGATCTCCCCCAGGCTAGTTGTACCCTAATTAAGACCACATGATGCAAGTAAATTACGTATACTCCTAACGTTATTGTTGTGTTCCTCATATCTGTTTTGTAATTACTGATGTGTTTATTACATGACATTGTGCGTTGAAACGGGGCTAAGAAAATTGTGATTTTTTCCAGCTACCCCCAGCAAATTCCCTGGGGAAGTTCCTTGCACCTTTTTTCAGACTTGAGCATAAAACAATACGCAAATTCGAAGTTCACACATCTACGTCTATTTTATGATAACATGAAGGCGTCGTGGTGCGCGTTGTTTGAGTATGTACTCGTAGTAGCTGCATTCGGTTTGCAGTCAATTATACATGTACTTTCTTACAGACGTGATTTTACTTCTTGAAGACAATGTATATCTTCCATTGGATATTTAGTTACATTATGTTTTTCAGATGCACGTTTGTTATGTTTTTTTTTTCGAAAAATGACCAGTTTTAAAAAAGAAGAACAAATAGTTTTCATTAAACATTTCCATTTAATATTTTTTGTTCTGCGAAAAAAATCTTTTTATTCTGTGACTTAATTCCAATGTTTATTTTGGGCGAAAAAAGAAAATGGTTCATGGATTGTTTGGTAAACTTTTAATAGGGGCATTCTTTTCTCAGTTACTATTAGTTGTAACTTGCAGCTAAAATAAAATGCGTGCAATTGTGACTGTGAATTAGTTCAAATATGCTTTCGAGCCATTTTGATCCTGAATTTCATTCTTTACTGTCATAGAATGGAAATGAATTACATAAATTGGCACAGCATTCATACGTTACCAATGTATTCAAATGTAGAATTATGAAACAGTGTGACAGAAATCTCTTCTATAAACAAAAGTGTGTTAGATATGGTGTTCATCACTTCAAGTTCCTATTTGTAAAACTAGTTTGCACGAGTCCGCCGAGTTAGCCGAGTTGTTACGGACAATAAGCTGTCATAAAATGCAGCTGTTTCTCGCCTGTGCCTGTGCAAGTGAAGATGGGTTGTGCCAATACACTCACATAAAGTAGTGATACATAATTTTTATTTCTGTATTCGTAAAGTTAGCTATGAGAATGACATGTTATGAAAACGGTTTTCTACGGTGTGTAGCACATGCTTTATGACATGTAATAATAATTGCCTCCTGGTGCGTATTTTTTTCATGTGGCTCATTTATTCGTTTGAAAGAACAATATTACCAACTGTTCACCACGCAGAAGATCTTTTTATACTATTAATGTCCAACGAATGACGTCTCATTTTAGAGTAGATTTTCTTTTCGTTTTTGTGCTCCTTTTTTGCCTTCCCCAATTCTCTTTCAATCCTTTTTATTCGATAAGATACGTTCACCTCAAAAACAGAAGAAATAATGGTATCCCGAAAATTAAAAAGATATGTTTTCAGGAAAATACATGACTGCTTTGGAGCAAATGTAAAACAATTGCTTCGTGCGAAATATATAAACTGGCAGAAACTTTGACGATCGGTAGACAGCGAAATGTGGTTTGCGACATATCATTGAATGTTTGAAATTAATTTAACGTTGCAAGATTTTGGGCAAATACTTTGATATTGCCCAACTCCGTAATTGTTTAGTGGATATACTGATATTAAATGAAATAAGGGGAAAGAGAAACGATACTCTGGTGTGTCCTACGAAATAACAACTGGTTTGTAACTGCATGTAAATCGAAAACAGGACTTGTAGTGTATTTTGGGACACATGTTCCGCGTTTATGGAAAAGAAATACGAATGAAGCGTGTTGGTTTTAGAACATTGTTAATATAAATTAGAAATCTAGAACTTTTATAAATATGTTGTGTTTCTAGTTCATGTCGTTAGATATTTTAAGCCTATTATAGAACGTACAACTCTGTGTCTTTAATAGACCATGCTGCCAAAAATACAGTACAGTCTCTGAAATAGTTCAGGCAAGTGAATAATTATGTTATAAGTCCTAGAATATTCGTTTAGTGATGGTTGCGTTACGTTGGACATAGTAGAACTCGGGCCGATGTCGCCTCCAGCACTAGTGCCAAAAGCACTGTATTCGTCACTGAACCGCTCCCAGTTCTACCGCTATCCGAATTCCACACGCTCCTCTACCACCGTTCTTGGCATCACTAACCATTATTACTTCTTTAGCGTCTCCTTTCGACCGCGCCCTGTCGCCGATCTGCACCCTTTCCATCCCATCTTCAACCCTATCCCGCACTTTCTCTGCCACTGCGCCGTGCGGTCCTGACATTTCCCATCTGTCCCTGTCCGACCTCACATCATTACAAGTTCCATCGATACCAGCCGTTCCTTCACGTTTCTGTCGCCGTCTATCACTGTCCTCGTCCTGATCCATTGCAGTCCACACCAGCCCTCTGCCTGTCCTATGTTCGCGTTTCCATTCCACTTTCTCCTTCTTCTTCTTCTTCTTCTTCTTCTTCTTCTTCTTCTTCTTCTTCTTCTTCTTCTTCTATTATTATTGTTATTTTATTATTATTATTATTATTATTATTATTATTATTATTATTATCATCATCATCATCATCAACATCATCATCCCTGCCCGACTCCTGCGTGCTCCCGCCGTTGCCCACGCCTCATTATCGCCACCGTTAGTCCCGTCGCGGCCGCCTGCGGCTCGCCGGCCCGCGCCGCGACGAGGGGCGCCCGCGTGCATCGGCCTGCGCCGCCGCGCGTTGCGCCACCCCCGCGCGTGCACCGAGGGGACGGGGCCGGCTGCGGAGCGGGGGAGGCGCGACACCCGAGCGCCCGCGGGCGTGGGAGCGGGCGTGGCCGCCGGGATCGCCACCGCCGGCGGGGCCTTGGCCCCAATCCGCCTCCGCCGACAGCCCCTCTCCGAACCACGCAACTAGGCTAGGATACATCTCGGAGAAGCTTTTAGATGAAACGGGAGATTTTTTAACTGGAGGAAGCTCGAGAGTATGAAATAGCTGGGCTATTTCGGTGCCAGATGCAGTAATTAAATGAACAATGTTGATTTCAAATTTCAAGCACAGAGGATCCGAATGAGATTTGATTTTTACATATTATGAATAGGGTTATCGAACTCATTGTTATGTGAAGATTAATGCCTCTCCTATTAATTAATATGACTCGTTTTCTGGATCTGACATGCTGGAATGATTATTCTGTTTCTTCGTGTCCAATTTCGTAAAAAAGAGATGAATTTTGTAATAAACGTTTTTGTTGTTAGTTATTGCGACAGTTTCTTTAGTGTCTATTCATAAACAAGACGAAATTGGTTCTGTAATGAAATTGAGAGATATAGTAATAGTATAACATTAATTGTAACTAAATATCATATTGTAATGTAGTAAATATTACATAAATAAATAATTTCTAATTTTAAGAGATCATCATGTTTTAATATGATTTTCTTCTTTCTTGTAATATTACCACAAATAAAATTCGTGTGATAGGTTCGTGATCAGCATATTCCAAATTATCTTGAAGGGTTTAAAAATTGCTTGTGAGGATAGAGATAAAATCCTGTATTTCGGATGCAATTCCTGTGGAGATTTGTGTTATTAGCCTGAATTAAAAATAATAATATCATTAAAATCTGCTTTATAGTGAAAATGCTCTTTTTGTCTTTGCTCCAAATTAATGCGTTTAAGTAAAAAGTGCGAAGTAATAAATTTCAACTTGTCAATGCTGCATTTTGAAGTATGAGTGGTATTTTGTTTTGAGTTACTCAAGGGAATCTTTAAAGCAGTAGTATTATTCAACTAATCAAGGTTTGAATGTAGAAACGAAACCACAGCGTCCGACAAACCATATCGTCAGTAATATCCTGCTCTAAATTTCAGAGAAAAAAATTATGCAAGAGAATTCTTGCATTGCGCTCTTACATGTCTACAGGACTGGCCCGTCGAAGAGTGGAATGAGAAAGCGATATTGTAGCCATTGGCTTCCCACACTAGGTCTCCCACATCTCCG